GATCGGAGAGGCTAAACCCTAGAAGCTAGCCTATGGTATGATTGTTATATATGTTCTATCGACTAGCCTGGCCTCGGTTTATATAATGCACCAGAGGCCTAGGATAACAAGAGTCCTAACCGAATACGCCGGTGGGGAGGAGTCTTTGTCTTGATCACCAAGTCTTGTGGAATCTTCCATGTATGCGGAAGCTGTCCAAACTGGCCCATGAGTATACGGTCATGGGGTCCTCGGCCCAATCTAACAGATCGGGAGACGACGTGTTGAGTACCCCCTAGTTCAGGACACCGTCAGCCGGTTCATGATGAACCGATACTAAAGGGGGGGACCTTTAGTCCCTGCTCTTTAGTGCCGGTTGTGGAACCGGCACTAAAGACCCTTACGAACCGGCGCTAAAGCCCGATTCTGCACTAGTGTATTAAGCTGCTTTCAGTGATTCGTTAATTATATTGTCTTGATAAGTAATCTCCCCACCAAAACTATTTTAGCCATCCTCAAAGTGCAGTTTTTTTAAATTAAAGTTGCTTGAGAATCAACCATGAAAGAATTTTTTTTAAGCCAAACTTGTATGTGTTCTCTGTTTGGTTAACGTTTCTTTCTTGTTTTGCATTCATGTGCTTATTGTGACTAGGATAGAAAAATGGCCTCTGATGAAAGAATAGAAAAAACAACCCGGAGTCGCTCAAGCCACTTCATGTTTTTTTATGAAAAACCCCTAGTCGGTCGGCTGCCTAACGTGGATTCTGAAGTCTTAGGCTTTGCACGGGAGACAAACAAGAGAGCAGTTAAACGAAAGTGCTATTATGCTCCCGAGCACATGTGTGCTCGTTATCTGCCCCGTCCACACGCAGCGAGATCCTCAAAAAAGGACGTATAGGCCTAGGTATAGTTGGCGTATTATTAATTTCTGCATGGCCCATGGCCCACATCTGACTACCAAGCAACACGACGCCGTAAGGCTATATAGGACCGGCTCAGACGTCAGTCACGAAATGGGCCATGAAGGCAGAGATTCTGGACTAACGGAGCACTGCCAACCCATTTATTTACTAGTAACTTTCCCTCTCGTTAGGGTTTTGTTCCTCCCGGGGCGATCTGCCACCGTCGAGACTGCTGGTTTCCCTACCTCGTCCTCCTGCCACCGCAAGGTGCGATCGATCGAGGGGCTCTCCTCTTGGGGGATCGTTCGGGTGGGGGGGCCGGGGTTTTTTTGGGTTCTCGCAAACAAGGGCCGACTGATTCTCATCATTCGGGTTAGGATTCTGGAAGATGTCTTCGAGCGCAGCCAAAAACACATCGGCGGCTGGCTCATCGGAGACAGAGGATGTGAGGATGATGATGGAGGAATTGGGATTGAAGGGGGAAGATCTGGATGATGTAGTTTTCGACGAAGACCAGGCCCCCCGGAGGTGGCCCGATGGCTGGCTATCGCTAGGATTCACTCGGAGAAAACTTACAGCCAGTATTGGTTCTTTCACAACATGAGAGCAGCGTGGGATCTCCCGCAAATGGCAAACGTCAAGCCGCTGGAAGATAACTTGTACACTCCAATTTTCTTGCTTGGGGGATTGGGAGAAGGTCATGCAAGAGGGACCATGGCACTTCAGAAGAGATGCGGTAATCATCAAGCCGTACGATGGGGATGACACAAATTCCGGTTGAGGGATCTCAAGCCACTTAATGTATTTTTATGAAAACCCCCTAGCAACAGTTAGTTATATAACAGAATTTTTGCAGCAACCACCTCAAATGGGAGCAACTGTGATAGAAAAACGGCCTCTGGTGAAAGAATAGAAAATTTCAATATAAGCCATCATATTGGAATTGGATGGCACAAATCTTTATAGAGAGAGTCGTACTCATAACTACACGCTTATGTGCAAAAGGACCCTCCCTTATAGTTATATTTCTACCCAATTTCCTTCTTCTTCCTCCGCAGTGTGTGCACATTCCCGAAATTTCCCAAACCTAATGGAGTTACAGCCCCCTTCGAGTCCCTCTTGCTTGCCGATGGCCACTGCGATTGCGGTTCAGATCCGTTGCCAAGCTCCATCCCCGCGTTGTGCAACTCGCGTACGGCAAACCAATGGTGTGTTCTCTGCCTCCTCCCCTTTCTAGATCTAGCAGTAGCTCGGCGGTGCCGGCAACTCGGTGCTGGGGTCCTCGCCTCCTTTCCCTCCCATGCTCATCCTCAAGTTTTTCTTCTCCGCAGTGCTATGTCATCATTGAAATTTCTTGTTAATTGATGGTGAGGCAGTGATACACATATGATTGACAAGGAAACTTGCAAGGCTTCATGTTGTTAACATGGATTGGGGTCATATTAAGCTGCTTTCAGTAATTCACTAATTCTTCGTTGTTTGATTTGCCCGTCGTATCTCTAACAGTAAGACCGACGAGGCTGCCATTCATGCACCGGTCTACTCCCACTGTCCCATATTAGTTGTCGCTCAAACGGATGTATCTAGCACTGAAATACATCTAGATACATCCATTTCAGAGACAACTAATATGGAACGGAGGGAGTAGCATAGACACGACAATGACCAGGGACTATAATAACAATAGAAGAAGATAAAATTCTTCTTTTCTGCAAAAAAAACCCAATGTGACATCAATCTTCGCGCCACACTCGGGCAAGTTAGAGCATCTCCAGTCGCGCCTCCAACAGGCCTCCCCAGGCCACTTTTTCGGCGCCGACGCGGAAAAAATGCCCCAGTCGCGCCCCTAGGATGCCGAAAATCGTCGGTTCGGCCCTTTTTTCCGCCTGGCGGTCACAGGCCGAACCCGGCGCACTGGGGAGCAGTTGGGGGCTCCGGCGCAAGGGAAAAGCGTGGCTGGCCCACACCGTCAGGGGAAAAGTCAAGGTTTTCTTCCCCGACTCACCTCCCACCCCCCGCGCTCTCGGCCACTAGTAGCTATATCCCGGCGCCGCCCGCCGCCCTACACCGCTAGATAGCCATTCCCCGCCGGAAAAATAGCAGCGCTTCGCCGCGGCAGCCCCTCCAACAGCAGCTGGGCGTTTCCAACCGCGAAGGCGCGGTTTAGCAGCGGGTACACGCCCACCGAGCGCAAGGTGTTTGGTGATTTGCTTGCCTCGGTGATGGACTCGGATGACGAGGAAGCGCTCGCCGCGCTGCTGGAGAAGGAAGCCGAGGCCGACGTCCAGGAAGAAGAGCATCTCATGGTGCTCGCCGCCCTCGCCCAGCTGCTGGCGAGCAATGAAAAGCCGCGGCGAGGTGGCTCGGCGCCTGGGCGGGTGAAAGCAAAGAACCGGCATCGTCTCGAAGGCTACTGCATGCTCTACTCCGACTACTTCACCGATGCTCCACTTCACGGCGAGAAAACATTTCAGCGCTGTTATCGGATGAGCCGAAAGTTCTTCCTCAGGATTGTGAATTCCATCCGGGAGTTCGACAACTACTTCAAGTGCAAGATGGATTGCACCAGCGCTCTTGGATTCACCTCCATCCAGAAGTGCACGACAGCGATGATGATGCTTGCATATGGAGCTCCCGGTTATTCACTCGACGACTATGGGCGCATGGCCGAGTCCACCAGCATAGAGTGTTTCTACAAGTTCTGTCGGGCAATGGTGGCAGTGTTTGGACCACAATACTTGAGAACACCCAATGCGGAAGACACTGCTCGGATCCTAGCACAGAATGCAGCAAGAGGATTTCCTGGGATGCTTGGAAGCATCGACTGCATGCATTGGAAATGGAAGAATTGTCCATTTACTTGGCAGGGGATGTACAAAGGCGCCAAAGGCGGTTGCAGTGTGGTGCTTGAGGCGGTGGCCACACAGGACCTCTGGATTTGGCACTCCTTCTTTGGTATGCTAGGAACTCACAATGACATCAACGTGCTGCAGTGCTCTCCTGTCTTCGCCAAGCTTGTTGAAGGTCATTCTCCTCCGATGAACTTCGAGATCAATGGACGGCACTACAACAAGGGGTACTATCTAGCTGATGGCATCTATCCGAGATGGTTGACATTTGTGAAGACGATCTCAAACCCTGTGCCAGGAGGCAAGAACGCCTGGTTTGCGAAGGTTCAGGAGGCTTGCAGAAAGGATGTCGAGAGGGCATTTGGTGTGCTCCAATCTCGATTTACTGTTGTCCGGTACCCCGCTCAGACCTGGTCGAAAGATCAAATGTGGGAGATTATGACTTGCTGTGTCATCTTGTACAACATGATTATCGAGAGCGAGTAAGAAGACCCAGTGTTTGACACTGAACCATACTACAGGCAGGGTCCTCTAGCCGAAGTTGATCACCAGCTACCGGCAACCTGGACTGCCTATCTCAATATGCGTCAGGAGATCCGAGAGCCACACGTGCATCATCAACTGCAGCAAGATCTGATAGAGCATCTATGGAGGCTCAAGGGCGACGCCGAGCGCGACGTGTGATGAAATATGGGTTTTTATTTGTTGAACTATATAATTTGTATTGAACTATTTGTTGTTGTACTATTTTGTTGAAGTATTTGATATTTTTGTGATGAAATATGTGATAAAAAAATTATGTGCATAATTGAACGCCGAACAACGGCGAACCACGCCAAATATGGGCCTATTGTCACCCATATGAGTCCTTTATTCGCCGAAATAGGGCTGAAAAATGGGCCAATTTCGACGCCTGGGGGCGAAGACTGGTCGCGAAACCGCCCCAGCGCCAATTGCATCGCCGGCTCGCCCCCAAGGGATGATTTTTATGCGTCCTGGGGGGCCGAACGGCTGAAGATGCTCTTAGACCTAGTGGCAGAGCCAACGTCCTTGACAATGGGTGTAGGTCACTAAAATCTTAGTTTTTTACTCAATTTTTCTCTAATTTCTTGATGTATGGTGTATTGTCTCATTCTCCACCGTGTGATTATGATCAAACGGCCGCTAGCTTCCCTGCTTGGACACATTGACCACGTACGCTGGGCCGTCCCGTCTCCCCCAGCCGGAGGAAGCTTCCAGAACCTTCAGCCGGAGCAACCGAGCGCGAGACATGGTGGTGCTGCACGTGAAATCGTCGACCTCCTCCTCGTCCCCATCCCCGTCCCCGCCGGAGGTAGAGGAGGAGATGGAGTTCCTGTACGAGTGCGCCGCCACTGCCGCCGTCGCGGACGTGGCGGCCGCGCTCGCGGGCACCGCCGGCCTCCAGGCCCGCGTCCTCTCCCTCTGCCGCCGCCTCCGAGGCGAGTGATGAAAGTTCCCGACGCCGCGTCGCGCTAGCCGCTGCCTGCCATGGATGAGCGGATCGAATTCGGACTGACGCGCTCATGTTTTTGTTGCGGTTGCAGAGAGGTGCCCGAGCGGCGAGCTGGAGAGGGCTCTTTCGGAGGCCGAAGCCTACGCCTCCAAGGTAAAGTTTCTCGACTCGTTTCAGTAGCTGCTCAACTCAGATGCCTGGATTTGTTCCAGTTCTGTCGATTTGTTTGTGGGAGATGCCTGGATTTGTTCCAGCTCTGTACCTTTGAGAGCTTCAGGTGTGGATCGATGTCGATAGCTAGTACAATTGAT